TGCCATGAATAAAATATCAACGGACAATGGTGTAATTATCCAGTGGATCATGTAGTAACGATGCCGCGGAAGAGCTGCCGAGAAGAGGATCAACGAAAACAAACCCTAGGAACGGTGAGGTCGCTCCGTGAAGCCTATGAAGATATCAGGAGACTTCTGCGCTTTTGGGAGGAGCTTGGTTGGCTACTCTAATAGTCTTGGGTATAGACGCATAACGGCCCGGATGAGAGGTTAATTGCGGAGAATGGAGTTCAACTGACATTACATTACCATCACAATAAATTTTCCAAGAATTTTCAAGTTGGGCTAACTGACCTGACTTCGTGCTCATTTTATAATACACCACTGGTGAGGCACCAGTGGTGTAAACCGTTACCGCAAGCGGGTTCATCATTCCATTATCATAAAAAAAGGGCTGAGGGAGACATTTGTTACATTCTTATACTAGCTATTCGCCCCGGCTTCGCACGGGTGTACATGTATTATATATATAAATCTTCCTCTTGAATCACTCTACCTATTAAAAAAACCGCTTCAAAATCCGTTGCGTGGTTTTAAAGACTTAAGCATACATAGGGACGGACAGACAGCGACAGCGACTTTGTTTTATAGTATGTAAACATAATAACAATAATTTTATTCTAACAGCTTCCGTGGTCTATCGGTTTACCACATTGCCTTACTTCTGATGGTCGGACGTTCAATTCCTCGCACGGTACAAACATTTGTATTTATGAATATGATTGTTTGTATCGGTCTGGGTATTTTCTATGTATCATATGTATTTACGAAAACAAATATATATCTATGTATTTGTATCAGTTATCCAGTGCCCATAACACAAGCTTTAGCTAGCTTGTCCTGTGTGATTGTTATTATTATTATGCAGTACAATATAATTAATAAGTCATGATGCCTATTAACCATTAATTAGTTATTATTGTATAATCATGGGGCATAAAACAATAGTACTAGTCATACAAACAAATTGTTTTAAACTTGACTTTTTATCAGTAGACTAAAGGATTGCATAGTCATTTACCAACCATACGGTTATAACTTATTGTGCATGCTCTTATTAATTTGTTTTGTTTATAGTAAACCTCGTATTTCTTTCTCCTAATAAACATTTATACTTCAAATTTATTAATCTGAGATAAACTTTAATATTAAAATTTTAGAGTTGGCTACCTGAAATTTGTAATTGAGAAATAGAAATAGAAATAATCTTTATTCAAATAAACTCATTACAAGCACTTTCGAATAGTCATATTTTGATTTAACCACTCATTCGGAATGCAGATTCATCACAAGAAGAATGAACAAGAAACTTGTGTGTTGCTCTTATTAATAAATAGATGTTTTTTTTATATGAATAATTACAGTATAACAAGTAAGAGGCATGCGATATCAACATAGAAATCGCTACACACTCATTATTAGTGTAATCAGATAATATTGTCAGTGCTATGGATTTAAAGTTTTTCTATAAAAACATTATTATCGTTAACGAATTCTTCAATTTTATAGTAAGCTTTAATAAGCTAAGAGATAATACAACAATATTAATTACAGAGTTATTGGATGTTTAATAACTAATTATTATTATATATGAATATGATTAATTCTGGTATGTAGACAGATAATCTATTGATCTCCTGCCTAATTTATCTTTACCCAATAACTCTATATATTTATTATGGTGCAGTTTATATCCATGTAAAGTTTCACTAAAATATGTTCAGCTGCTTAACCTTGAGATTTGATATTAGTATAAATTTTTTAGAGGGATTAGTTTATATTTTGAATACTCAATATATATGTTTACACTCTTAATAGGTGGAATGGGATTGTTAGCAATGTGGACTCATGACCCCAGCAATATACCATGTCATGTTGACCTCCACACGGTTCCCCCTGGAATCCATCATGATGGGTTAACTGTCCTGATCTCATACTTATCTTATCATCCTGCACTGGTGCCCCGCCAGCGTAAACCATCGCAAGCGCATCGCAACCGTTAGCGCAGGCGGGTGCTCCATTACATTATTATACATAAAAAAATACAATACTACATTATCTCAACAAATTTCAGAAAATCAACTCTATGCTTTAATGTTAAAGTATATATAAAGCCATTTGGGGGGAAAACGAATTGTTAGTAATGTGGACTGTTAGTCTTATTGCTAGCAATGTACCATATCAGGTTGACCTCCATGTGTTTCCCCTTGGTAACCATCATGATAAATTCCTGATAAATTTGTCACGATGGGCTAGCTGACCTGACCTCATGTTCATCTTATCATCCTCCACTGGAGCCCGGCCAGCATATACCATTAGCACAGGCTGGTGCATAATTCCATTATTGTCAATTAAAAAATATATATAAGCCATTTCTTATATATATAGCATATAGTTGTGAATATTAACTTGTTTTCATTACCTATGATCCATTCAGCTGTTAAGGCATGAAAAGGCAACAAACTGACAGACAGAAAGAATACAGGACACATTTATGTATGAGTATGAATTACTAATTGTTAGTGTTGTCTGTCACATTATGTATTAGATACTAAATGTTCTATATACAAATATAATATAAAATTCATATAATATACAAATATAAAATTCTTAATAATAAAAAAAATACAATTTAACTATAAAAGTAAGTGGCCAGTATGTCAGCAACAGTTAGCCTAAATAAATATTGCTAATTTTATACACTCAGTATGTTTATTACTTAGAATTTATATTAATATTGATAGTAAATAAATGATTTTTTTTATTTTACTGGGTGGTCTAGCGGTCTAGTACAAAGTTTTACATCCGATGGTCACAGGTTCGATTCCTCACATGGCACAAACATTTGTATTCATGAGTATGACTGTTTGTATCGGTCTGGGTATTTTCTATGTATAATATGTATGTATTTACGAAAAAAAATTATCTATGTATTTGTATCAGTTATCTAGTACCCATAACACAAGCTTTAGCTAGCTTAACTTGGGTCTAGATGGCACTGTGTGAATTATCCTGAGATTATTATTATTATTATCAGCCTTACGGATGAAATGAGATTTTAAGTGTTAATAAATGTAATGAAATGTGTTTTTTTTGTATAAAAATGTTAATATTAATAATGTAGTAATAGTTTAACAATAATATGCAGATTTTGCTAAGGTGAAAAGGAAACACTGTGGTTATGCCCACTCAGGCATGTACAAATTATTTCCTTTGGAAAGTCTACACTATCCAGAGGAATTAAAAGGTATTCTTGGAGCAATGAAAGGAGTATTGAAAAATCAATGGTTTTTACATTGCTCCTAAGAATATCTTTCAATTCTTGTCTCTCACAGGTCTAGGAGGCGAACTTTGAAAAAGGATGAGCACAATAGAACTATTGAGGTTGCAGTGCTACGGGTCTTAGCAACTGACAATAGCCCAAAACATTCTGGACCGAATTTAAAAAAAAATTAAAAAATATATATTCCAGATAGTTGCAGTTCCAGTTATATTCCAGCCATGTTGACAAGCAAACTTTTAGTTATCTATAATAGGGTTATTGAAACAATAATTACATTTATCTGCCTCAATGAAGTACTTAAACAACAAATACTTAGTTAAAACACTTATTTTTGTGAGGTGTTAATTAATATTTATTAAAGATAATATAATAACTTTTATTAATTAATAATTACTTCTAACTTTTAGTATAAAATTCATTGATTGTATAAAACAATTCTCAATTAGCCTTCTATGGAATTGGGATTTAAATTAAGATGTATGTAGTACATTTACTATACTTTTTGGTTTTGAAAAAGTACCTACAAATAGGTGAATTCACAATATATAATTTATCCTAAAGTATAAAACAACCTTTCATAGTCAGTGAGTTAGGCACCTTCAAATTGTTTACATAAGTATTTATGGAGTTCCTGGTATATGTAACAATGTAGAAACCAGAAGCTATGACAAACAATATTATTCCTTGCCTTAAACTCCATACAAAAACAATGACACAATTTTTTACTAATTTTCACAATATAATAAAAAAAAAATTGAAATGCAGACAAAAAATAAATGGAAACGTATTTGAAAATAGAACACTACATTACTTCTGCGAATTATCTATAATATCTATTGATTTTTTTAGATTTTTTTTTATAACAATGAAGTACATCTCTGAAATAAAGGTATAGAGATTGTTTACTTACGTAAAATGTTTTTACACAACAAAACACGACAATGAATTGTAGTCCTAAAATAATTTAAAGTTATACATTCTACTGAATTTTATTAATACTATTTAATAAATAAACCACTGCACACAGGAACACTAAACAGACACAACAGACAGGACCGAAATAAATTTCCTTCGAATCACATATACTCGTATAGGAGTGGTAAATGACGGCTGCAGTGTGACCATTTAAAAATTAAATTACTGGTCTTGCCCTACTTCTTGTAATAAAGGAGCTAAATTGTGCTAAAACTAAAAAATATGTTTCTAAACTTATTAACTTCTTAATTCATATACATCAAAAATTTAAAAACTTCACTATGCAATTTTTTTATTGTTTATTACACATATATAACATAAAATAAATTCTATTTTTATGATTTATATAATTTCTATTGAAATAAATATAAGACTTCATAATACTTAATTTACTTGAATTTAGAATACATGTATCAATACCTTCTGAGGGCTGAAAATTTTTTTGTGATTATTAAAATATTTGCGTTTTTTATTGATATATTTTTTACACCAATTCCAAAAAAACTATTAAAAGAATTCAAGCTAATATTAACACACTAGCCAGAAGGTTTGTCATAGTGTATAGTGTGAAGCTTAGTAATGGACTTTTAATTCAAATTTTGTTTTAAAAATACATTATTAAATAAAACCTTCATACAAAAGATTTTTAACTGAAAAATGACTAAATATATTATAAAATTTTCGGAATGTAAATTTTTGCTGCACTTACTACCTTACTTACTTGTCATTTTCTTGATTCATTAATTTTGTTTCATCTTTTGACTTTATTTTTAATAATTTCACATTTCACTGTAAAAATTAATATTTGCATGTCATTAATTAATGTTGCTACATATCTGTGTAGCAAATTGCTACAAGTTCAATATTCTAATAAATATTTAGATAAAAAACAGACTTTCTAATCAAACAACAACACAAACAAAATTTATTGATCACTAGAATGTTAAATATTTCGTAGCATTTGCAGTACTTATTTTATAAAAGATTTTCTTATTCCACTCGCATTACTAAAATCATTTTATTGAGGAGATTAAAGCTCCCGGAGTCGATAAAAACATCTTCAATTTAATATCCGTGCAGATTACTGCAGACGGATCGCAAAATCGACCACCCGCCATTCGCGTAAACAATATCTGCGGGAGGAAATTTTCTTCATCTAATATCCTGCTCACGATTTTACTGGTTGATTTTCGCGGCAATTTTCTGTCTAACCTATCACATACTGTCACTTGACGCGACAGCCAATCGCGTTCAGTTGACGTGAGCAATGATTCTAATTGGGCCAATGTTACATCCGGTGTCCGATACGGAGCATCCTGCGCGAAAAGCCCGGGAACGGCAGAAGATAGAGTGACACCTGCGCAGCATCTCCGAGCGCCGTACCAAGATCACATCTCGCGAAAAGTAATGATTATTTCGGTCCACGGACGGTTAGTTCCGCATACTCCCGCCGTGGCGCTACGCACGGGAGTGGGACGATGTATGTACCTTGTTATAGACTGTTAAAACGTATTATCAGTGGTGTAAATTGAAAAATTGCTAATGTGTATCTAGAATTGAACTTATGGATCGCGTACAGTGATTCGTAATGTGAATACTTCGCTAGTTGGGCCGGTGCAGTGGTGCGGGTAAACGCGCAATTTGTAACGTGTGCGGTGGTATCTCGTCGTCCATTTCTGTGGCCTGCTTTTCCAGGGTTGTGCGGGCGGGCCGCAGCGCTCGCTCTAGGGTGTCTCCAGAACTTTAGACCCGCATTTAAGTGACGTTGTGATGAACGTTTTCCATAGAAAATGTGTTTTTCAATGGACTTCGTATTCAGTGTATCGAGTTCGACTATCGTTTATTGGAGATTATCCATGTCCGTGCCGGCTCGCGAGAGGTCGACACAGCTCTTAGAGTGATCAGCGTGCGACGCTAAACAGGGATTCTAATACCTTTTGTTATGAACGTATTCGACAATAACAGTGTGACGGACGCGCAAAATGTCGAACACTATATTGATAGGATCGACCGCTTCCAGCGGGCAAAAATTCGCTATCTAATACCATTATTGGAACACTAATGGCGCTTGGAAAGCTTATTATCATACTCGCCGTCGTGTCACTCGCTGTAAGCGATTACCATGAAGTCAAAACAGAAAGTAAAGCGAAGGAAACCGTGGCGGCGGAGAAAGAACAGAGGTCGAGATCGGCCAACCCTAAGGGCGAACGTGGCTCGTTTCAGAAGCTAAGCTCCTTGATGAACCGCACCGAGGATAGACGACAGAAGCCCAGGAGGAATGAGCATTTAAATAAAATATTACAAATGAATAGAAAGCACGACGACATGATGAACGACAACCAAGGCGCAATAGCAATTAATCAGAAGACAGTACCGGACAACGATTCTAATACTTTGGCGGAGAAGATGAAGGTGTTACGGAGGGAAGGGCCGACGTACGAGGCCATCAATAAGCACAATTATGTGTCTCAGGCTACAGGGGTTTATTGTAATTTTGAAAATGGAACGAATGGCTCGTTAATTGATATTTGTATGTGGCAATGGAATCACACGGTATCCAGCCATGGGTTAGGGTACAAAGTTGTTACTGCCGAAGACGTAAAAATTATGAATGAGACGACCAGAGGACTAAAGTTTTCCGGGCCTAAGAACGACGCGGATGGAAATGTGGAAGGTGAGGACGATTGTCGGATTGTGCTGTGTTTTGTTTGTCTGTGGATATGTTATATAGAATTTTTTGCAATGCTTTTTTATTTCTGTACCTTTTTTTTTATTCTGCATGCAAGCAGGCTTATTAGTTACGTTTTAAACGATTGTCGGATTATGCTGTGGTTTGTTTGTCTATGGATATGTTATATAGATTTTTTTTGCAATGCTTTTTTATTTCTGTACCTATTTTTTTTTATTTTATTCCGCATGCAAGCAGGCTTTTTAGTTACGTTTTAAAATATAATTAAGCGTATCTCTCTAATATTATAAAAGCAAAAGTTTGTGAAGTATGAATTTGGTTTGGTTTATTACTCTTTTTTTGTAAAAACTACTGAACGGATTTTGATGAAACTTTACAGGAGTATAACTTATACATCAGAATGACACATAGACTATAATTTAAAAAGATATTATGTACATTGGGCGAAATATAATGATAAATGTCAACTAAGTGTGATGTGGATGAAGTTGCGTGGGTCAGTTAGGTAATTAATAAAATATCTCATAAGATTCAGTGTACAGAATAAAATTATTTATACGAAAGAAATACAATATAGAAATTCTGAATTGTAGGTAACTTAATATATTTATTTCATTTGAAGACATAAATAAAATAAATAAAAGTAAATAAACAATTTATAATAAAGTATTTTCGATACATATTGTACACAATATTAATAGATTATATATATGATTAATAGGTATATATGGTTAATAATAAATAATAATAATAACCCTGGACAATTCACACTGCTATATGCAGTCCCAAGGTAAGCAGAGCTTGTGTTATAGGTACTATAGAACTGATTGAAATGTTTAATTTTTTTTTAAATAAATAAATAATATATGTTGAAAACACCCAGAGCACTACAAACAATCGTACTCATGAATACAAACGCCTGCATTGCGCGAGGAATCGAACCTGTGACCATCGAACCTGTGACCATCGAACCGCTACACCACCGAGGTCATCAAATATGTACATATATAGGTAACGGTAATGATGAAGGGTTTACTATGGGGTATTCTATATTTTTTTTTTCAACCAGTTTTTATCAACCAGTATTTAAAAGATAAGAAATATAATTGGCAATATATGATATATATACCTAATTATACATAATTATTAGCTCATAATAAATAGATAGATAAGATATTTTATGTATTTAAATCATATAGTTTGAACTAAACTTATTACTCACTAAATGACCAACGTACATGGCAATAGTTGTTCATGTACAGGATTTTCATTTAATGTTAGACATAGACACCTATAAAGTAAACAATGTAAATAAGCGTGCTCTTTAAAAAAAAGAATTTCTTTTTTTTTTTGGTTTGAAAGAATTTCAGTTGATATATACACCTATACAAAAATCTTGACATTCATGCTTAAATATTCTAAGTAATAAATATAAACAAAACTGCACCGTTGGGAAAAAATGTTACCTAATACAAAAAACTTGATTATTTTATAAGTTGCTAAAATGTCCATGAATGATTGATTTTTGATTCGATTTGTATCTTAGTATCTCACATATAGGTTTATTATGAGATTATTATATATGCACTAGCTGTACCGGCAAACGTTGTTTTGTCTTAAAATAAAAAAAAATTAGGGGTGGAATCATCTATTTTTCATCCCCCTAAATGTTAGAGGTAACATTTAGGGGGATGAAAAATAGATGTTGGCCGATTCTCAGACCTACTCAATACGCTCACAAAACTTCATGAGAATCGGTCAAGCCGTTTCGGAGGAGTATGGGAACGAAAACTGTGACACGAGAATTTTATATAAAGATATTATATATATGTTTATGTGTATGTTTAAATATTACAAAATATTTAAACCAATACAATAGAATATGGGTAAATCTGTATGTGTGCCACAGCAATACAAAATGGCTCATAGCTCAGTGGAGAATCACTCAACGAGCAAAACACTTGTTTCCATTATTTCATACATGAAACCTTTTAATAATATAAAAGCTGTAAAATGATCTTACTAATATCATAAACGCGAAAGTTCGTGAGTATGGATGGATGTTTGTTACTCTTTCACGTCAATACTGAATGAATTTTGATGAAGCTTTACAGTAATGTTCTAGATTATAGCTTATACATCAGAATAAAGCTATAAATTTCACGTGAGTGAAACCGCAGGCACAGCTTTAGTTAGAAATAAATAAATTCGACTTTTTGTATCTGTCAAAAAATACGTACTAAAAAAAATTACTGACTTTGAAAAATCCACTCTATATTTTTACTATTAAAGTCTATATTCCCATGAAACCTCTTTTAGAGTATAAAATCTGTAATATGCTATGAAATTAAAAAGAAATAAATTTGACTTTTTGTATCTATAAAAAGAACATAGGTATATCAAAATAATAAAAAAAACAACTAATACTTCAACGTTGAAAAATTCACTCTCAAAAAAACTCACTCAAAAATTTACCCTTAAAGTGTATGCCCACCAGAAACCTCTTTTATTGTGTAAATGCTGTAAAATTTCAACTTTTCGAATCTGTCAACAAAAGCTCTCAAAGCTTTAATTTTTTTTTGAAAAATTCACTCGTAAATATTTACTCATAATTTAATTTTTTTAGAGTAACTGCAGTTTTGTATTAAATGTACAATATGTACTTATCATTAAATTCGTCTTTTACATTATTATATATATGTTTATATTATTAGAATAAACCTAAGAAGGTACAAACATTTGTATTCATGACTATGATGGTTTCATCTGTCTGGGTTTCTATATATACTACATGTGTATTAAAAAAAAACTTAGTATTTATATCAGTCGTCTAGTACCCATAACACAAACTGTACTTAGCTTAGGAATAGATTTTTTAGAATTGTCCAGGGCTGTTTAATAATATGTAATATTAATATTACATATTTTCAAATAAAAATTGTATCTGTATTTCTATCAGTTGTCTAGTACCACAGATAACATATACCCATAACTCAAACTCTACTTACCTTGGGACTAGATGGCGCTATATGAAAATATCTAGCTTTAATATTATCATGATTATTATTATTCTAATTCTAGCCACCTCGTTCATAGGACGGGAGACTTGTCTGGTTGTCTGCTCATTCATGTATGCTAGTGCATAGCTCCCGGGTTTATTTATACTTCCTTTGTTAACCGTAGTTAATTACCATTCCTCGAGAAAAGGAACAGTCAAATGTAGACGGAAATAGGGCCGCGGTCAAGTTAGAGTCGACATAACTGGAATACTGACAACATATTTAAATAGAAGCTCAGTCTACATAAAAGGCAAGATGATAATGGAATGGTGTGTCTGCTCGAGTCACTCTTCATCATTTGCTTCTTCCTTATCACATTTATTTATGGTCAGCGTAATATGTTTTTCTCTTCCATTCATCCCTGTTCGCAGTCTTCGTTATTTACTGCCTTTCTTGCCATGTTGTCTTTCACTCAGTGCATCCATCTCTATTTCGGCCTTCCTCTGTAATCATCATATGTTACAGCTTCCTTAAAATATTATCTTCATTCCTACCCATTATACGCCCATATCACGACGGACGATTACTCTTCGACCTCTCCGACAGCGAAGCCACTTTCATACTTCCTCTAATGTATTCATTCTTTATCTTATCCGTTCTTGCCACATTATCTCAATATTCGCATGCAGTCTCCTTTCATCCATCGTTTTTACGAGTCACTCTTACAATTCTTTTTACTAAGGGATTTGGGTTATCACACGGGGTTGCACTGCGACCTACAGAGATCTATTGAACTGGCCCTTTTCCAAAGTTCGCTGCATAGACCCGTCAGAGAATTGTAGGATATTCTTAGGAGCGATGGTTTTTATCTCCTCAGGATAGAGTATATACTATCCAAAGATATTTTTTTAATTGATAATGTAATGGTGAACTCATCTGCGCTAATGCTATACGCTGGCGGAGCACCAGTGGAGGATGATAAGATGAATAAGACGTCAGGTCAGTTAGCCCATCGTGACAAAATCACCTAAAATTTATCATGATGGTTTACAAGAACCGCGTGTAGGTCTACTTGACATGGTACATTACTAGCCATAGGGTTACAGTAATGGGGACTCCATTACTAACAATCCCCTTCCTCTCAGCGTGCAATATTATTTATACTAATTTCGATAACGTAACCCAATGTGTGAAATAAACACAAAAAAAATCTGCATTGAGTAACTTTTTTTTGAATTTTTTTTATCTGCAGCGTTGCAGAAATGATTGCCAATAGAGAAAAAGGATGTACTATAATTTTATAGAGGACTAGCTGTCCCGGCAAACGTTGTTTTGCCTTAAAATAAAAAAAAAATTTAGGGGTGGACTACCCCTAACATTTAGGGGGATGAAAAATAGATGTTGGCCGATTCTCAGACCTACTCAATACGCTCATAATATTTCATGAGAATCGGTCAAGCCGTTTCGGAGGAGTATGGGAACGAAAACTGTGACACGAGAATTTTATATATAAGATATCACCAATATTAAAGATATAGGTATATATGTATATTACATATATGTGGGTGTTTGTTAAAATTTATAATTTTGAAATTCTTGTTAACGGGTATCGTAATAAAAAGTTTTGAGCAAACGAGCGAAGTCAGGTCGGGTGCTAGTAGTAGTTAAGACGATTATAAATACTTAGAATGTTACAACATATCATTGTTTTCAATTTCTATTTATAATTACGAATATATATAATAAATATAATTCAAGTGTCTTTTTGTAATTTCAAATTAACAGCTATTTACTAAATACATCTAAAGGCATATCTGGTATTTACATCAAAAAATATACTGTAAAAAAAAATGGCTGTCTGTGTGATTGTTCCTGCTAATCTCTGAAACGGCTGAATCGATTATGACAGGACTGCCTCTCCCAGATAGATAATGTTTTAAGGACTAATTTAGGCTACTCCTATTTTAGACATTCTATTAAAAAAGA